TGCCTTCGCTAACGAAACGTTGTCTTTAAACATCCGTTAAATTTATTTCGGCGTGAAACGTTCACTGCTAAAAGAACTTCAGACATTTTATAAAGTCAAGCCACGAGAGGCAATTATAATGCACGATTCAATCACCGGTTTTTCTGTGAAATAACTGTTCTTTATATACATTTGATAAAATAATCAGTTTTTATGAAATAACTTTTAGGTATATATAGATATATGTAATACCTGACGTGCGCTTGATACAGTTATCAGTCTTATTGAACTGTTACAGTTGAATGTTATAACATTAGAGTACCTTAAAACGACCATATCCCCATGGAAACGGGCCGTGTTATCAGACTTTTTAAACTGTTACAGTTGAATGTTATTACATATTAGTAGGTTGAAACGAAATCCAACACACGTATGACGATATCCCCATGGAAACAGTCCTTGTTATCAGACTTTCTGAACTGTTACAGTTGAATGTTATAACATTACAGTACCTTAAAACGATCATATTACCATGGAAACGGACCGTGTTATCAGACTTTTTGAACTGTTACAGTTGAATGTTATAACATTACAGTACCTTAAAACGACCATATCACCATAGAAACTAAAAATAATAATCAAAGCTCCTTGTTGTTCTTCGGTAACATCAAACCAACTTGATGTGTACAGAAAGTTCTTCACGACCTCTGCTAACAACTTGCATATCTAATCACCTTGCCCCTGTCCGTCCAGGTGACCTATGACCCTGATCCTCTTCTTACTATTCACTTAACCCTTTCAGCACTGTTGGGCTAAAGATGTCGCTGCGTGTTTTTATACAGAATAAATAAAGATGTTCTTTGAGTTATTCTCACATCAAAATGTGTGTGTGTCTATATATTAAATGTAGGTGGCGCCCAGCATTAACCCTTTGAGAAAGGGCTACATTACAGGATTTTCAGACGTGAATTTTTCCTAGAAATTATAAAAACATGCAAGGTAAGAATAAAATGTGTCTGTAGTGTCGAACCTTTCCGCCGATAAAGCAAAGGAAGGTGCAGTGATTCCAGCAGGGGAAAAAATAGGCTATCCAGGACCGACTACCGGTCGCTCACCGGAAATGATAACAAAAAATTAAACAACTTGTTAGTGGAAGTAACCAATTCTAGTTAAAATGAGAAACTCCCTTGGCACTGTAAACAAGAAAATTTACATAATGGTGATGTCCACAGTCTACTCCCAAAGTACACAGCCGAGCGGGAGACTAACCGTCAAACACTGTACAAGTGATATCCAACCTGTGACAAATGGAATCATGACGTGTCACATTGGACGAACCGTTCATCTACCTAAATACCTGCAAAAGTGTGGGATATTAATTATTGGTGTTACAAGACTTCCAAATTAAAACAAACCATGTCGCGCGAAGTTTTCCCACGCGATTGCAAGTTGCAGCTGTGGTGACTGATAAGTTTAAAAAATATACATGATGGCTCCTTCAAGACAAAGCATCCATCCACACGTCCGGTTCCTCAGCAAGAAACAAAACATGTTACTGGGTCATTTGCAATAATTTTCCTTGAATTTCTGTGCTTTGGGGCTCTTCAAACGTGCCCTCGAAATTCCTTGTCTGGGCACAGTTGGTGGACTTTGGAAAGCACGAGGTGAGGATAGGGACAATACTGATTGTAATAGAAAATGCCATATCTACATAGGGGGTTTCTCACCTGGTTGAGTGGCCCACTTACGTATAAGATGTCGCTCAGGTTGAAAATTAAATTTCCATTATGCAGGGACGGGAGGGTGAAATTTAAATCATCCTATGCTTGGGACGGCAAGTTTTACATTTACACTTTACCAGGCAAGTTTTACAGTTACACTTTACCAGGCAAGTTTTACCGTTACACTTTACCAGGCAAGTTTTACAGTTACACTTTACCAGGCAAGTTTTACAGTTACACTTTACCAGGCAAGTTTTAC